CGAAAGTGGCGACAGTTTCGCAGGTCGCAGCCCCCCAGGGACGGCGAGGTCCCGCTCGGGTCCGCGCGGCGCCCCGCTCCGCAGGACCCACCATTAGGCTTCAAACGTGGCGACAGTTTCACAGATCACAGCCACCCAGGGATGGCGAGGTCCTGTTTGGATCCGCGGTGAGTGCCCTCTCTGCTGGCCTCCCCAGCAGCCCTCGAAAGTGGCGACCGTTTCGCAGGTCGCAGCCCCCCAGGGACGGCGAGGTCCCGTTTGGATCCGCGGTGAGTACCCTCTCTGCTGGCCCGCCCAGCAGCCCTCGAAAGTGGCGACAGTTTCACAGGTCGCAGCCCCCCAGGGACGGCGAGGTACCGTTTGGAGCCGCGGTGAGTACCCTCTCCGCAGGCCTCCCCCGCAGCCCTCGAAAGTGTCGACAGTTTCACAGATCGCAGCCCCCCAGGGATGGCGAGGTCCTGTTTGGATCCGCCGTGGGTGCCCTCTCTGCTGGCCCCCCCAGCAGTCCTCGAAAGTGGCGACCGCTTCGCACATCGCAGCCCCCCAGGGATGGCGAGGTCCTGCTTGGATCCGCGGTGAGTACCCTCTCTGTTGGCCCCCCCAGCAGCCCATCGAAAGCGGCAGCAGTTTCACAGGTCGCAGCCCCCCAGGGATGGCGAGGTCCTGTTTGGAGCCGCGGTGAGTGCCCTCTCTGCTGGCCTCCCCAGCAGCCCTCGAAAGTGGCGACAATTTAACACATCGCAGCCCCCCAGGGATGGCGAGGTCCTGTTTCGATCCGCGGTGAGTGCCCTCTCTGTTGGCCTCCCCAGCAGCCCTCGAAAGTGGCGACAGTTTCACACGTCGCAGCCCCCCCAGGGATGGCGAGGTCCTGTTTGGATCCGCGGCGAGTACCCTCTCAGCTGGCCTCCCCGGCGGCCCCCGAAAGCGGCGACAGTTTCACAGATCGCAGCCCCCCAGGGATGGCGAGGTCCTGTTTGGATCCGCGGTGAGTACCCTCTCTGCTGGCCTCCCCGGCAGCCCTCGAAAATGGCGACAGTTTCACAGGTCGCAGCCCCCCCAGGGATGGCGAGGTCCTGTTTGGATCCGCGGTGAGTACCCTCTCTGCTGGCCTCCCCAGCAGCCCATCGAAAGCGGCGACAGATTCACAGGTCGCAGCCCCCCAGGGACGGCAAGGTCCCGTTTGGATCCGCGGTGAGTACCCTCTCTGCTGGCCTCCCCAGCAGCCCTCGAAAGCGGCGACAGTTTCGCAGGTCGCAGCCCCCCAGGGACGGCAAGGTTCCGTTTGGGTCCGCGGTGAGTACCCTTTCTGCTGGCCTCCCCCGCAGCCCTCGAAAGTGGCGACAGTTTCACAGGTCGCAGCCCCCCAGGGACGGCGAGGTCCCGTTTGGATCCGCGGTGAGTACCCTCTCTGCTGGCCCCCCCAGCAGCCCATCGAAAGCGGCAGCAGTTTCACAGGTCGCAGCCCCCCAGGGATGGCGAGTATCCTTTCTGCCGGCCTCCCCAGCAGTCCTCGAAAGTGGCGACAGTTTCACAGGTCGCAGCCCCCCAGGGATGGCGAGGTCTTGTGTGGATCCGCGGTGAGTACCCTTTCTGCAGGCCTCCTCAGCAGCCCATCGAACGCGGCGACAGTTTCACAGGTCGCAGCCCCCCAGGGACGGCGAGGTACCTTTTGGATCCGCGGTGAGTACCCTCTCTGCTGGCCTCCCCAGCAGCCCTCGAAAGTGGCGACAGTTTCGCAGGTCGCAGCCCCCCAGGGACGGCGAGGTCCCGTTTGGATCCGCGGTGAGTACCCTCTCTGCTGGCCTCCCCAGCAGCCCTCGAAAGTGGCGACAGTTTCACAGGTCGCAGCCCCCCAGGGACGGCGAGGTACCGTTTGGAGCCGCGGTGAGTACCCTCTCTGCTGGCTTCCCCAGCAGCCCTCGAAAGTGGCGACAGTTTCGCAGATCGCAGCCCCCCAGGGACGGCAAGGTCCCGTTTGGATCCGCGGTGAGTACCCTCTCTGCTGGCCCCCCCAGCAGCCCTTGAAAGTGGCGACAGTTTCGCAGATCGCAGCCCCCGCAGGTCGCAGCCCCCCAGGGACCGCGACCACAGGGGGGGGGGCGGCGGGAGAAGGACGCGACCACACCCTTCTATTCAAAACGAATACCCAACCAAGGAGGGTTGGGAAAAAAGAGAGAGAGAGAGAGAGAGAGAAAGAGAGACAGAGATAGAGAGAGAGAGAGAGAAAGAGAGAGAGAGAGAATGAGAGATGGACGGAAAGCGGCGCAGAGGAAGAGCAGCGCGGGCGCGCCGATCCAACGCCAACAGCCAGCAAATGACGCCCCGCACAGAACAAAGCCTGCAGGTCGGAGGCGCGTCGTCGCCTGGCAGAGCCCTCGCCCTCGCTCCTCTGCGCAGCCTTTCTTTTTCGAGGAGCGCAATCCAACGCCTGCCAGGTTTAGCAAACACCTCCTTCTACTGGAGCCAGGGGGGGCGACCCGTCTGCATCGGGGCAGACTCGCGGTACTTATGATGATGTTGCAGGATTTGCGCGCAGGCCAGTTCCCAGAGGCTGCAGGGTCGACGTGCCTGATGTCGCGCGGAGGGAGCTGCATATTCCGTCTGCGCGTCCCCGCAGGAGGAGGTGATAAATGATGATAAGGACCCTGGTCGATCTTGATCGCGAGGTGCTCGACGCTTCTGGCGGCCGGTTATGGGGCATCTCTTCGGGTGCCAGCATGCGAGGGACCGCGTAGGCATTCATATGTTGAGGTCTGATATTGGAGCGGGTGGTGGGGGCTCGCCGATGGGTCTGGGTTGCCTTGTCAGAGGTTGTTTTTAGGTTCCTTGGTCTTTGTTCCTCGTGCTCCTTGCTTGGGTTCCTCGAGGTGCTCCTCGGGTTCCCTGCCTGGGTGTTTCGGGGCCCTTCGAGTTCCTCGACCCTGCTGTTTGCTTTGGTTCCTCGGGGTCCTTCGGGTTCCTCTGGTTTTTCGGGTTCTCAAATGTTGAGCAGGGCAATGCCAAGTAATGCAACGCAATGCCAGGCAACACCAGTCCATACAAGACAGTGCCAAGCAACGCAACGCACTGCCAAGCAACGCAACTAACATAACAAGCATTGCCTTGCATTGTTCTGAACTGTAATGCGTTGCATCGGAAGACAGACGACCTCTAATTGGGGTCGCGCCAGGCTCTTTCCACTTCTGACCCCCCACCTGCAGAACGTCGAGACGGCGTTGGTGATCTAAATCGGGGCTTTCGTGTTCTGTCTGGCGTTGAGTCCCCCTGCCCGCCCGCCCGCCCACCCGCTCGCCCGCGAGCGCGCGCGCGCGCCCCCCCCCCCGCGCGCGCACGCCCGCCCGCGCCCGCGCCCGCGCCCGCGCCCGCGCCCGCGCCCGCGCCCGCGCCCGCTTGCAGCTCTGGGAGCAGACCGATCTGAGGCATCCAGATGCTTTAGATACCGCTCCTGATCATCTTCTGTCGACCATTGTGCATTTCAGTTCCGTAGCCCGCCTACAGCTCGAATTACGTAGAGAGGACGAACATCGTCTCTCCTAAATTTGCAGAGGGCGACTAGTTTTTTTTTTGTTCCAGTCGCAGCTCTGGTAGCAGACGGATCTCAATCGCTTCGATACTGTAGAGTAGCGTTCCTGATCACTTCTTGTCGGGAGGTGTGCATGTCAGCACCGTAGCTCGCCTACAGCTCTAGGTAAGTAGAGACAACCAACATTGCTCAAACAGTTGCAGAGTGCATCTCTCTCGTACCCGTCCCATCAGATCTTCTACTGCTGTTCTCAGGGCTTTCATTTGTTCTCACCAGTTACAGCGGTCCGTCAGGTGACTCATTTTGTTTAGCTCGGGTATCAATTAGATATATATATATACATTCATATTCACATTCATATTCATATAAATATACATATACATATTCATATACATATACGTATACATATACATATTACATATACATACATACGATGCGCGAGGCGATCAAGAGGAGGCGGAGGCGGAGGAGGAGGAGGAGGAAACGGCGGAGCAGGAGAGGAGTGGGGGAGGAACGGAGGAGGGAATGAGTGGACGAGGAGGCAGGAGGAGGGTGCTTCGCATTGCTTCGAGGCGTGGGGGGCTGGGGGGAGAAACGGAAGCCTGTCCTACTGGGGAGACTGGTCGATACCGATCTCATCGTCCTTTTCCTGCTCCTTGGGTTCTGGCGGCGCGCCCGTGCGCGTGGCCTCAGAGACCTGTGCATTTTCCATCGGCCTCGTCCTTCTACTCGCGTGGTGCTCCAGACGAGGCGAAGATGCTGTAATCGAAGTTCCAGAACGGTGTTGATCTGGGGCCATCACGATCAAATTGGCGACGGGGATGGGCTCGAGCAGCGGAGGGACAGTCTCCGCCCTCTCCCTGCCACCAAGCCATGCCAAGTCTTCTCAAGCACACGCTCCCACTTGCACTGGCTGGACTTGTCTATTCTTAGGAGGCGGTTGTCAGGATCGCGCCCCAAAGGTCAGCATGCGGGGGAGCGTCTTCCGGTGGAAACAAACATGTTTTTCATGAGGCACCCCTTTTCACCTCCTCTCCACCTGATGCGCGCTGGGGCATCGGAGAAATGCTCTGGATCTTGCTGTTGCTAGTCCAGCGCGCAGGACGACACTGTTAGGACCAAGGAGGGCCTCGACGATGCTGCTGGCGTCGCCGTCGTCTTCGACGAAGACGACGAGGACGACCAGGAAGGTCGCCTTGGGTGCGACGTTGCAAAATGGTTGGGACACGATGTAAATGCCAGAGCGCGCAACTATTGACAGGACGCAGTACGGTGTGCGCACACGGGGGAGAAAGAGATACGTGAAGGGGGTCAGAAGGTACCAGCGTAGATTGGTTGAGTTGGGTGGCCGCGGCGGAGGCAGGTGAGGGACGGCCATTTGGATGGGGCTGTGCTCGTAAAGGTCAGCGAAGCCATGGAACATGGGTTGAGAGCAGCGAGCGTTGGCAGCATTGGGCACTTCTTGTGAGCTCTGAAGGTCAGTTCGTCGGCGAGATCGGCGACGATGACGACGAAGACGACGACGACGAAGGCAGGCGTTCTCTTCCGCATCGCATGTTGAATTGTCAGGGGATGCTGTCTGATACAGCCGATTGGTGTGTCGCCCTCGGTGCCGCGAGGTCGAGGTCGTCGTTGTAGAAGTGTCCCCTACATTCGCGCATGTGAAGTTGCTCGACATTTCGTCGCGATGCAATCGAGAACGACACATCGAGGCAATATTCGGGCCACCTTGAGCGGGGAGATCGATGAGAGGTTCATGGTGTGTTGTTTTCCGTGTGGCCTGCTTCATGGGCCGAAGGCCAGTGAAACGAATTCTTGACGCATCGCGTATCCTGACCAGCAGGCCTGACCTATGCGTGGTTCGGCTTGGACATTCGCTTGGATGGACGCTGTGTGGACGCTTTCTGCCTCTGGTCCTGGCATCCACACTCAGTGCAGTTTGCAGCCTACCTGAGGCGACGCTTAGGCAGTTAGTTGTTTCGGTTACGCCGCTCTAGCTTGCTCCTGTTTTAATTTGTAGGCCCGCGCCCCGGACTTACGACTCGCCGCTTGCGCTCTTGCCTGCGGCTGCGACCAAAAAAGTATCCTGACCAGCCTCCGTAGCCTTTGGCTCAAACCACTGGCTCAAGCCCGCCCCTGGCTCAGGTACGCGCTCGGGCCGGGGCCATGTCCACTCACGCGGCGCGATCCTCTCTCGGGCCGCTCTTCGCCGCTGCAAAGCAGCTGGCGGCGGCGCGGCGGGACGCCCCGCCGGGGCTTGGCGGCCCTCCGCCGCCGCCGCTGCTGCCGCCGCCGCCGTCGGAGGCGGCCGGCGGCCGGCCCGGCACGGCCCCCGCAGGCGCTGGGCCGCCGCTGCCGCCCTGGCTGGCGGCGGTTTCCGCCGCCGCTGCTGCTGCCGCTGCCGCTGCCGCTGCCGGCCCCCCGCCGGCGGCGGCGGCTTCGCGGCGGAGGGCGCGGTGGCCGGCGCCGCCGCGGAAATACGAGGTCTGCCCGACGGTTTCTTCCTCCGTGGCCAGCCCGGCGGCCAGCCCCCCGGCCAGCCCGGCTGGCACCCCCACGGCCGGCCATCGGCCCGCCCCCCGTGCTGCCCGATTGCCACCCGCGGCCTGGTTGGCTGCCGGCCCCACCCGCCTGACGGCCAACCCTTTGGCCCGCCCCGTGGCCAGCCCGACTGCCAACCCCGCGGCCGGCCCCGCGGCCTGCCTTACGGCCCGCCCCACGGCCAGCACAATGGCCCGCCCGACTGCCAGCCCCACGGCCAGTCCCACGGCCAGCCCGGCCAGCCCCACGGCCAGCCCGACGGCCAGCCCCACGGCCAGCCCGACAGCCAGCCTCGCGGCCAGCCCCACGGCCAGCCCCACGGCCAGCCCGGCTGCCAGCCCCACGGACAGCCCCACGGCCCACCCGACTGCCAGCCCCACGGCCAGCCCGACTGCCAGCCCCACGACCAGCCCGACTGCCAGCCCCACGGCCAGCTGGACGGCCAGCCCAACGGCCAGCCCGACGGCCAGCCTGGCGACCAGCCCCGTGGCCAGCCCGACTGCCAGCCCCACTGCCTGGCCGGCTGCCAGCCCCACGGCCCGCTTGACGGCCAGCCCGTTGGCCCGCCCCGTGGCCAGCCCGGGCCCGACTGTCAGCCCCGCGGGCACCACGGCCAGCCCCACAGCCAGCCCGAATGCCAGCCCCACGGCCAGCCCCGCGGCCAACACGATTGGCAGCCCCACGGCCAGCCCGACGGCCAGCCCGACTGCCAGCCCCACGGCCAGCCCGACTGCCAGGCCCACGGCCAGCTGGACGGCCAGCCCAACGGCCAGCCCGACGGCCAGCCTGGCGACCAACCCCGCGGCCAGCCCGACTGCCAGCCCGACTGCCAGCCCCACTGCCTGGCCGGCTGCCAGCCCCACGGCCCGCTTGACGGCCAGCCCGTTGGCCCGCCCCGTGTCCAGCCCGGGCCCGACTGTCAGCCCCGCGGGGCGGGCACCACGGCCAGCCCCGCAGCCAGCCCGGATGCCAGCCCCAGGCCCACGGCCAGTCCCACGGCCAGCCCCACGGCCAGCCCCACGGCCAGCCGGATGGCCAGCCCGACGGCCAGCCCCGAGGCCAGCCCCACAGCCAGCCCCGCGGCCAGCTCTGCGGCCAGACCCAGGGCAAGCCCGACTGCCAGCCCCACGGCCAGCCTTACGGCCAATACCGGATTGCCAGCCCAACGGCCAGCCGGACTGCCAGCCTGACGGCCGGCCCGACTGCCAGCCCCACGGCCGGCCCCACGGCCAGCCCGACTTCCAGCCCCACGACCAGCCTCACGACCAGCCCCGCAGCCAGCCCCGCAGCCAGCCCGGCCGACAGCCCCTCGGCCAGCCCGACTGCCAGCCCCACGACCAGCCCTTCGACCTACCCCGCGGCCAACCCGACTGCCAGCCCCGCCGCCAGTCCGACGGCCAGCCCGACCGGCAGCATAACGGCCTGCCCGACGGCCGGCCCGACAGCCAGCCCCGCGGCCGGTCCCACGACCAGCTCCACGACCAGTCTGACGCCTCACCCGACACCGCCCCCGACGCCCATCCTGACGCCCTACCCAATACTCTACTTGAGGCCTTGCCCGACGCCCAATCCCACGGCTTCTTCCTCGGCCAGCCCGACGGCCAACCCGACGGCCTGCCCGACAGCGAAGCCACCCTCCAGACGGCACTGGGAATTTCCACGGCCCCATGCGTCAGCCTTCCCCTGGCGAGCGGGACAGAGAAGCCATTCTGCAGCTGGTTTCGAGGAGCCCTTTCGCCCCTATTTGTCGCCCCTCCCCTGCCGGCGACTCGATGCGAGTGGGCGCCTCTGCAAGCGGCCACAGGGCAACCCCTGCGCCCCCACGCAGCGCGCCAGACCCCCCTCGGGTGGTGGCGTGAGCTCGACCGCCGAGACGGGCCAGCAGCCCAGCCAGTGGGCATCTTGGACGCGTCGGACGGGAAGTGGGTGGACGCCCAGGCTGTTCGCCGATCGCTGGCACCCAGGACCACGGGGCTCCCGCGCTGGAAGGCCGCTCTATAAAGTCCGGGCCCGCGACTCGCAGTGGGAACCCCGCGGAGAGTCCCCCGACGAGACGATCAGGCACTTTCAGGTCACCTTGGGTGCGTCGTTCAGAGCCGTCTGGCACGCCTTTGCCGCTCAACACGCTGCCCCGGGTACCGCGCGCGCTTTCGACGCGCGTCGGCACGACCGGAGAACCTGCGTCGCCTTCCTGACCTCATTTCACAGCCGCAGCTGCGATACTCGGGCCATGAGCGACTCATTGGGCCTGGGCATCGACTGGGCGCAGGTGCGTGGACAACACCTGGGACGCCACGTCGGCGCGAACAGGGGGCGCCAGGCACCCCCGCGAGATGGTCGGGATCTCGTGGGCGCCGACACTGGCCGCGCGCTGCAAGGTGGGAGTGCTCTCGGGCGAGGTCGGGCCCTTGACGTCGAAGGCGCGGCCGTCTGCCTCCCCCCCACGTCGACGGCGTCGGCGAGCCGTCAGCGCCCTACGAGAGAGTCAGCACACCGCAGGCGAAGCTAGCCCTTCTTCGCTGCGCGGATATGCGCACTCCGACCGAAGGGGATGTCTCAAGTGAAACCTTATCTCCTATCCTTGCGGTTGTTAGCTGCAAACCCGCAGGGCGTCGACGCCCTCCTGCCGAAGCTCTTTTCACAGCCGGCATCACGCAGCGTTAGCTGCCACTCCACCCCGCTCTTGGTCGTGGACGGCAATCGGCTACCCCCCCCGCTTCTCGCTCCCAGTCCAACTTCCCTGGGTAGTCGAAGGCCAGACTGTCAGATTGGATTGGGCCCCAAGGGCCAATCTGGCCTGGCCATGTTGGAAGATTTGGGTTATTCGCCAGACTTGATTCGCGTTGGCTCCCTCGCCAGATTGCCCCCGTTTGCCAGATTGGGCCTGCCAGATTGGCGCCAGATTGGCTTCGACTACCCAGCTTCCAGTATGCTTTAGGCGAACGCATCCTTTTCCCACATCCCGCGGCTGTTAGCTGCACCTTGCCAGAGAAGCGAGCATTCTCATGCGGTGCCATCGCCTATCGCCCTGGGGCTGCTCGCCCAGCGTGCCTTGGCTGAGCTGCAGGTCTCAGGCGGCGCACCCCCCCGCCCTGAGGCTGCTTGCCCAGCGGGCCTGAGCTGGTTACCCAGTATTTCTCACGCGAACGCATCTCTCCCCACGCTCCTGCCGCCGCGGTTGGCGACGCCCTTCCAGTGCACCGGGCTGTCTCGCGCGGTGCAATCGCGAGCGCCCCCCTTTCCCGCGACGGTTTGCTACGCCCCCCCCCAGCGGGCTGCAGGTCTCAGGCGATGCAATCCCCCATCGCCCTGAGGCTGCTCGCCCAGCGTGCCTGGGCTGAGCTGCAGGTCTCAGGCGGCGCACCCCCCCGCCCTGAGGCTGCTTGCCCAGCGGGCCTGAGCTGGTTACCCAGTGTGTCTCAGGCGAACGCATCTCTTCCACACTCCTGCGGCGGTTAGCTGCACCCTACCAGAGCACCGGGCCATCTCATGCGGCGCTATCGCGAGGTCTTCCCTTTCCCGCGGCCGTTTGCTACACCCCTTGCGAGCTGCAGGTCTCAGGCGGCGCACCCCCCCGCCCGGAGGCTGCTTGCCCAGCGGGTCTGGGCTGGCCAACGCTCAAGCGCGACCAGCAGCACATCGAGCTACGCGGTCACGATCCGCACGGCCTCGAGCATGGACGTCCACAGCCACCTCCACAGCGGCCCCACGTTGGCACGCAGCAGCAGCGTGAGCGGAGTCGAGACGCGCAGCGCAACGTCGAACAGCACGGGTTCAAGTGCGACGCTGTCGAGCAGCACCACGCCGGCCAGCGCTACGGTGTACAGCGGCACGACGCTGACGGATACGACAGGGTCATTCAATCCCACGCTGAACGAGACGCGCTCCGCCATGGCCAGTACGAGCGGCACCAGCAGCACGGCGGCGTGCTCGAGCGCACCCAGCAACACAACTGCAATGTCTGCAGCCTGATATCCAGTGCATCGTTGTCTGGCAGCACGTATCACATGACCAGCAGAGCGACCTCGAGCTGCACGGTCACGACCAGTACGGTCTCGTCCAGTGGGACGTCCACGGCCACTTTCACGGTGAGTTCCACGTCGCCATCGAGCCGCAGCGTGGGTCTGGGCGAGGTTGGCAGCGCAACATCGAGCAGTACGACTTCGAGTGCGACGCAGTCGAGCAGTACCGCCCGGCCAGAAACACGGCGAGCAGTGGCACGACGCCGACGGATACGACAAGGTCATTCATGCCACGCTAGCCGAGACGAGTCCTCGACGGCTAGCGCGAGCGGCACCACGGGTCGTCGGCCTACCCGAGCGGCACCAGCGGCACGACGACTAGCCCGTGCGCGACCCGCAACGCAATTGCATCGCCCACCACCTCTACCCCCAGTGCATCGTTGTCTCGCAGTACGCCTCAGCTGACCAGCAGTGCGACCTCGTGCAGCACGGTCGCGGCCAGTACGATCTCGAGCAGCGCGACGTCCATGGCCACTTTCATAGCTACATGAACAGCCGCGCGAGCGTGGTCGCGACGAGCAGCGCAGCTGCGAGCTGCACGACTTCGATTACGACACTATCGAGCAGCACCACGCCGGTCAGCACCTAGGTGCGCCGCGACACGACGCTGACGGACACGCCAGGGTCATTCGATACCACGGTGATCGAGATGACTCTTTCGACGGCGAGTACGAGCGGCTCCAGCAGCACGGCGGCTAGCTCGAGCGTGGCCACCTGCACATCTGCGTAGTTCACCACCTGGACTTCCCGTGCCCCGTTGCCCAGCGACACAGGTGACCACGGTGCGACCCCGGGAAGCGCGGTCGAGACCAGTGCGGTTTCGAGCAGAGTGGCGCCCACGGCCACTTCCACGGCGGGCCCCACGTCCTTATCAAGCAGCAGCGCGTGCGGGGTCGAAACGAGCTGCGCAACCTCGAGTAGTGCGGCTACGAGCGCAACACATTAGTACCGCGCTATTCGTCGCGCCAGCACTACGGTGGGCAGTGGCGCGTCGCTGACGGATACGGCAGGTTCTATTAACATGGTGACCGAGGCGCGTTCTCCGACGGCCCGTTCGAGCAACACCAGCATCGCGACGGTTAGCTCGAGCGGGGTCAGCAGCGCAATCGCAATGGCCGCAGCTTGACTCCCAGTGTTCGTTGTATCACAGTACGTCTCAGATGACCAACAGAGCGACCTCGAGCTGCATGGTCGCGACCAGTACGGCCACCTCCACGGCGAGCTCCACGTCGGCATCGTGCTCTAGCACGGGCATTGTCGAGCCGGACAGTGCAACGTCGAGCAGTACGACTTCGTGCGCGATGCAGTCGAGCAGCCCCGTCTGACCAGCACAAGGAGAGCAGCGGCATGACGGTGACAGTTCGACAGTTCTTTCCGTGCCGCGCCGTCCGGGGCGTGGTCTTCGACGGCCAGTGCGAGTGGCATCGATCAGCAGCACGTCGACCAGCTTGGGCGTGGCCAGTATCACAACTCCATCTTCCCCCACCTTGGCTCCCAGTGTTTCGGGGCGGCACTCGGCGACCCCCCCGCTTGCCGCTCCCAGGCAGATCGCCAGCATGTCTCAGGCGAAAGCAGTTGTTCCAATTTTCCTGCGGCTGTTAGCTGCACCCTACCAGAGCACCCGGCAGTCCCTACGTTGCCAGTGCGTTGCGTTCCGCGGCTATCAGCTGCACTCTACCAGAGAATCAGCACACCGCAGGCGAAGCTACCCCCCTTCGCTCTTCGGCTTTTCACACTCCGGCCGAAGGGGATATCTCAGGTGAAACTTTCTCTCCTATTCTTGCGGCTGTTAGCTGCAAACCCGCAGGGCGTCGACACCGTCCTGTCGAAGCTCTTGTTCACAACCAGCATCCTGCATCGTTAGCTGCCACTCCACCCCGCTCTTGGTCGTGGACGGCAATCGGCTACCCCCCCGCTTCTCGCTCCCAGTCCAACTTCCAGTAAGTCTCAGGCGAATGTATCCTTTCCCGCATTCCGCGGCTGTTAGCTGTTAGCTGCACCTTGCCAGAGAAGCGAGCATTCTCATGCGGTGCTAAACTGCAGGTCTCAGGCGGCGCGCCCCCCCGCCCTGAGGCTGCTTGCCCAGCGGGCCTGGGCTGGTCACCCAGTATGTCTCAGGCGAACGCATCTCTTCATACACTCCTGCGGCTGTTAGCTGCGCCCTAGCAGTGCGCCGGGCTGTTTCATGCGGTGCCATCATGATCTCTTCCCTTTCCCGCGGCTGTTTGCTAAACCCCCCAGTGAGCTGCAGGCCTCGGGCGATGCCATCCCCCATCACCCTGAGGTTGCTCGCACGGCGTGCCCGGGCTAAGCTGCAGGTCTCAGGCAGCGCACCCCCCCCCGCCCTGAGGCTGCTTGCCCAGCGGGCCTGGGATGGTCACCCAGTATGTCTCAGGCGAACGCATATCTTCCCACCCCCTTGCGGCTGTTAGCTGCACCCTCCCAGAGCAACGGGATGCCTCATGCGGTGCAATCGCGAGCCTTTGACTCCCCCCGTGGCTCGTGGATGGCGACGGCCTTGCGGCTATACTACACGGCCCTGGAAATAGCCTGTTTGATGGATGACTGCGTGTTCTACGCTTGCGCTCTTCTCGTGCCGGTGGCCACTCTGTGACATCCCAGCTGCGTGCGTTGGTTTGGGGCACGCCGCCCTTACTACAAGTTCTGGCACTTCTTGGCCTGAACCTGGGCTGCGGCTTGTTTCCTTTACCTCTGTCGTGTCTTCTCTTTGCTTCGCTGTTATTATGTCTTCGCCCCACTTGCGCTGTCTGCGTAGTGGCCCGTCCATGTTTCCGCTGATCGACCCTTCTTGACGGCGCGCGGCTGCTTCCGCGTCACTCGCAATCAAAAAGTATCCCGACCAGCCCTTCCAGAAGCAGATCGCCAGGCGAGTTGCCTTGATCACGGAAGTGCCGAAGAGCGCAGTGTAACAACCACCATGGAGCAGTTTTCTCTGACATTTCCTTGAGCGATGTTGGGGGATTCCTGGGGTCCTCGCGGAACCTCTTGGGGAACCCGTGAGGCTTTCTTGGAGCTCTCTTGGGACCTTGGGACCCTCTTGGGGCCATCTCGGGCCCCGTTGCTCAAATCGAGGAGGAGTAATGAATTCAGGTCTTCACATCGGAGGCTCAACAATGGCGTTTTGGAGCCCTGTTTGGGCACCCTTGGGGCGCTATTGCACGCTCGTCGGGCCCTCTTGGGGCTATCTTGGGCCCTTTGGGGGCCGCGCGGAGGCTTCAGAAGCCAATCGGAAGCGAGAAGGCGAAACAACAAAACATTATGATTTCCCTCATGTGTTGGAGCTGATTTGGCTTCTTGGGGAGGTCCTTGGAGGGCTCGAAGAGCACTTGAATCCGCCTTGGAACCGTCTAGATGTTTCTTCGTTGCGTATCGGGGGCTATTTCGACCCATCTTGAGTTATCTGGAGGAATCTTGGATGCCATCTCGCGCTGTCGGAGGCCCTCTTGGAACCATTTTGGGCCATCCTGGACGACAAAAAAAAACTCTCAGGGCGCCCCCCGCCCGGGCCCAGGGGAGGGGCGGGGGGAAAGATGCGCCCTTCCCCCGAGCAGGGGAAAGCGGGAGCTTTGCCAGAGAGAAAACAAAACTCGCTAAACCAGTCACGCCCGGAGGGTTGGCGGGATTACAGTTGTGCAACGTTTGCCCGCCAAGCACGCGTGTGACAAGCACAGAGGGCGGCAGATCCAGTGGCTTACGGCCCTTCCCGCCACCGTGCCTGGGCTGTCGGTCAGAGGCTTGGGGATATCGTGGGAGGTCGGAAGTTTTTTGTCCTGGAGGCGGTGTTGGGTGTCTTGGGCCGTTCGGGGGCTTTTTGGGGCTTGTGACTTGGGGGTTCCGCTGCGATGAGTCGCGCCTCAAGGTTGCATCGCACGTCGACAACCTGATTTCTTGCAGCAGTGCGCCAGAAGGAGCTGTCCGCATTCTGGAGGATGCCGAACAGCAGCTGCAGACCAAGTGGGGGCAGAGGATCAACTTTAAACGGAGAAGGTTAAAGGCGAGATATAAATCGAGCATGTACCGCTGCCGTGCCTGGCTCAAGCCGGGCCCGGCCTAATATGTGATTGCGCCTCACCGAGGCGCACTACTTGCATCTGAGATCGGAAAACATCCTTTCCATTGACGATGCCCATCCTACTCTTTACTCCAGATCCCATGCTTCGTCTCGCTCTCTTGCTCATGCGCTATGAGCCTAAGCCTGGGATATGGAAGCGCCTAAGGCGGACTGTATACCTAAGCTTACCAGCTTGTTTTCGACTTGGTAGCGGAGCTGGCTACACTCTCGTGTGGCTGGCTCTCGCTCTGATTCCAGTAATCCACGGCACAACTTGGTGGACTACTACTACGGTGGAATACCATGTTGCGCCGGCTCTGCGAGGAGCGGAGCCAGTCCGCGATCGAGCTAGCGGGGCAACCCGCGAACTCGAGACGCTTTCTCCTACTTCACTGCGCTACTTCACTCCCGACTTCCACCAGATGCCAATCGGCAACTCGATCGAGAACGTGGTCACCCTGCGGGGCTACCCGCAGCGGGGCCACCTGCATCCCGTGCCGGTCAGGCGCCTCACGGCTACCACGCCAGAGCCTGACAAACCACAGCCTAAACCAATCACCGAAGCCGAAATGCATATGCATTGGATCAAGATAACTATCTTCGGCATTCTATGGGTGATAATGGGATGTGCTGTGGGATACATGCGGCAGGGGATGGACGACACGCGTACTACTGGCCCTTCATGGGACCCTGCCGGTACTACGCCTTTCCGCGAATACGTTCGCGAAGTACATGCATGGTTAAACGTAACGAGCGGCAATATGACACCACCACAACAAGCTGCAGCACTACAACGAGGCCTTCAAGGTCTGGCTCGTCGTATCGCCATGCAGGTCCCCTCCCAGATCATCAATTATGGTGTAACTGTCAATGGACAGCCAACGGATGCAGTAACCTACATACTGTACTTACTGAGCACCAAATTTGAAAATCTGGAAGATGAGCGCCAGCTCAACTCTGGCACGGCCCTTATCGACTTCCGCGTCGAAAGGGGCGAGCGAATCGACTCAGTATTAGCTCGATTCGAGATGGCCCGTGACGAGGCTAACTCTGTTGGCTTTGTCATCCCCAACTTTCAGATCCTAACGCTGATTCTCTTCAGAGCGTTAGGCGTTGGCGCGTCACGAGCCCAACACCTGCTTGAGCCCTTTAATCATCAGATGCCCCGAACACAAGCAGACTATGACAGGCTGCTGACCAGGATGAGGAACTACGGACATGTTGCCGAGCGCTCTCCTGGCAACATAGCGGGTATCTTCACAGGGCACCACTCACATGCAGGTGTCTACGCCACGACTGCGGGGTCACCCGCTGGTCCTGGCGAGCCAAATCCCTGGGCTGACCCAGCCGATATGCCCAACGAGGCCACTGCCCTTCTAGGGCAGACCGGCCAGGCATCGGCAGAGGCAGCTGAGGCGAACGCCTGGTCGAACTACTCGCCAGGCGCCGCCTACGCTGCAAGCCCGCCCTCGGGCACAACCCTCTGGGGCCAAGCGGAGTCATCCGCTCAATGGTCTCAGCCACCCTCACCGTTTGAATCTGGCACTGACACAGATACCTCATCTGACGATGAGCACAATGGAATAGTCTCTGCTGGTAATGACTATCCAGCGGACGACACTCACCTTTCTGAACAGCAAAGGGCGGAAGCCGCCTTTATGGCTTATCGCAAATCAAAACGCCGTTGGAGGCGCTTTATGAAGAAACCAGTCAGAAAGGTGAGACGTGCAGTACGCCGACATTTCAAACAATTTGGAAAGGGTCGTGGTAAAGGGGGTCGCAGACGCCGTATGCATGGTAGGGGTATTACTGCTTTCCTCACGTCCTTAACTGATATGGCTTTTGAAGAAGTTCTTATCGGAGGCAAAGGTCGGGGTCACAGGCGGACCTCCGGTAAGGGAAAGGGGCGGAGGGGCAACCCTAGGGACGCTTCTGGTAATACTATGAAGTGTCATACATGCGGTAGCACAGAGCATTTGCGCGATCAATGCCCGAAGGGGAAAGGAAAGGGATCCGTACACTTGGCTCAAAATTCTTTTATGGATGACATAGATTACATTGACTACGAGTTTTACGTCAATCCAGAAGCGGCTCCCGCTGCGGGCTCCTCCACGTATTACGTGATGGCCCGCTATGCTGAAGCAACTGTGGCCCTGGAAGACTACGCAGTGACCCTCTTCGACGAGTTCCACGGCTGGGACGAGGTCGATGAGATTGCGTACAATGCTTGGTTCGGTCTTCCAGCGGGGCCACCCGCCGGTGACGAGGTCTCCGAAGCCGAGACTGTCCCGGCAACAGAGGAAGAACTCACCGCCGCGCTGGCCCCACAAGTGATTGGCATGCCGTTGCTGCCAAATCCGTCGTGGGCTGGCTCGGAGATGGGAGACGCCGATGACGAAATGCGGGGCCATCCCGCGTATTCCGACTCCGAAGAATCCGAAGAAGATTATAACGACATGCTCCAAGAGCAGGTTTCAGAAGCAATCCGACTCTTGAGTGCGCCAGCACAGCAGCAGATGACGATGAACGAACTGCTGTCGCACCCAGGAGTTGCCCGTCTACGTCCATACTTGGATTCGAACATGTCAGCATCTCAGATGCTTACAGCACTCCAAGCTCTAGCGGGGTCACCCGCCGAAGAGATGCTAGACACAACAGCGGGGCCACCCGCTTGGTCTATGGATGTATTCATGCAAGGTTGCGATCAAATGAACATTAACGACCTCTCGATGGAGCAGTTAAATGACATCGGATACTTCAGAAGCCCGTATCAAAACGTGTTCATGGTCCAGGACAGCTCAGAGGACTCGGAGGACATGCGGTACGCCAAGAGGGACAGGCGACCGTCGCCTCCCCGAGACTCAGAGCATGACGATCAAAGGCCAGTGACACGTGGTAGTGCGTCAGCGGGGCCAGCCCGCGGAAGGAGCCGCTCAGCTCCTAGACGCCCTACGCATGATGAATCGGGCTATCCATACAGCACTGAGCACTCCGTTGGAGTATCTGCTCAGCAGGTGCCGGATTGGTACATCCAATGGTACCCCGGCTACTCTATGGATACTCTTCGGCACTGGTATTCTAAGGAATACTGTACCAAAAGGGACGAGACTGGCGCGATAATCCGTACCAAGGGCGGCAAGACCAAGACGCCAGAGGCCTGGGACAAAAGGGCGAAGAAGCAGGAGATCATCACTGACCGCAAAACGTACAGAAAGCAAGTATGTCAGTGTGAGCCCTTCAAAGGCCACATGCGCAGGTGTCCGATGGACCGCCCCTCCAGGAGCCCTCACCATGGAGAAACCCCGTGGAATTGGTCTCATGGAGACGACGCGGGTAACGTCCATGATCCGAACAAAGAGGTTCCTGGAGGAGGAAAGCGCATCACAGAGGCCGATCGCGTCCCTATGACCGAAGAGGTGGCCAACACCGTCAAGGAAAATTGGGCAAAGCTTCCCAATGACCACCGCCTCAAGGAATGGAACCGCCGATTCCATAAGGAAGCGGGGTCACCCGCAGAATCCAGTAAGGAAGCGGGGTCACCCGCAGAATCCAGTAAGGAAGCGGGGTCACCCGCAGAATCCAGCAAGGAAGCGGGGTCACCCGCAGAAGCAGCACCAGCCGCTGGATCTGCGGACGAGTGGATAGACGTTGCCTCTGCTGCCGGGTCCGCCGCCGGCACTGACCGCACTGAGCTAAATGAAGAGTGGGCGGCGGAAGACGGTTCAGAGAATCCATTCCCTGACGGAAGCGCCTGCTGGTACTACAGCTCTTCGGCGCAGAAGTGGTTCTGCACGAGGGTACTCTACCGCCATGAGAATGGCAAGTACAAGCTGGCCATAAAGGGTACTGCCGACATCGACCAGATGAGGCAGGTCATCCATGATCATGGCCAGCCAGAAGGCCCTCCTAGAGACCCTCCTGGTCCACGACCAGGCAAGGGCAGCAGACCACCGCCAAGACCTAAAGCCGACTCCTCGTCTTCACCGACTCCTGCGAAAAGGCAACCGTCCAAGAGCCCCGAAGGCACACATGAGCGGGCGAAGGCCAGAGGGACTGCCAAGACAGACGATCCTAAGACGGCAGCTCCTCCCGGTCCGTCCGTGACAGAGAGGAAGAAGGTTTTTGCTGGACCATCGACCCCGATGCCGCCGGCGACCCAAGGCGATGTCAAGGACGAAGCTCGCGACAAGCCTAAGGCAGCATTCCGAGGTGACTGGACTCCAACACTGCATCAGCCACGCCTTGCACCACGACCAGGTTCGGCACGAATGAAAGCGCAGCCGAAGCCCGAAGCTGGGATGAGGTCGGTGCGGGCAGAAGCGGCCGCCAAGGCTAAGGAGGACAAGGGCTCTGCGGGGCCACCCGCTAAAGCGGCGCCAGCCGTAACAGCGGGGACACCCGCAGAAGGCACTCTCTCCAGGGAAGAACGCTTCAGAGTCCTCACAGAGTTTGGCGACCAACAGAAACTGACTGATGATGCAGCTGCTGACAAAGGTCGCCCGAACCCTGGCGCGGAATCATCTGCAGGAGCTGCCTCGTCAGCCGCAGGTTCTGCAGGGCCACCCGTTAAAGCGGCGCCAGCTGCATTAGCGGGGTCACCCGCCAAAGCGCCGCCGGCTGCACTAGCGGGGTCACCCGCAAGCGGGCAGCCAATAATGTCTGTTCTGAGGGTCATTCCTTTGGAATGCAAGTTGTATTGGCAAGGCATTGTAGACAAAGGCCCGAGGCAGCCCATCAACCCACGAGTCACTCCAGACGACACGGACCGATATGAAGTCATTAATTGTCCGGTTCGTCGTAATTTCAAGTGTCACAACGACTGGGAGCGCGAACAGCAGAAAGTGGGAAACATGCTGCGAGACAGGCCGCCACTACGCGCTGCGCAGCATAAAGAAGCACTCCTGAAGGTCATGACACAGAACGGCATGGATCCAACCTTGCCGAGTAAAGAGCAGATGACCAAGGTGTCGATGTGGTTTTCAACGGCTCTACGCCACAGTCCATATTACAAGGACAAACATAATCGATACTTCGAAAAGGTCAGCACTTTTGATCCATACGACGGCTGGGTTGTCGTTGATGATCTGCTGACAAACTGGACTGAAAATGATCAGTATAAGCACTATCGTGAAATGCACGAGGTGCTGATCAAAGGCAGGCCCCACCCGTCATTCGTGTATTGGGTGCTGCTAAACTGCTGTGAGATGGTTGACCATCACGGCATGCAGAAGGGCAGGCTCCAGATGAAGTGCGTTGATGACAGTATGCTGCTGCCTCCCAGGTTTCGACCAACGGCACGCAGGCCACAGTACTTCATCAGAGCCACGAACGGCCACAGCAGTCCAGGCATCCACTGTCCCGAGTCGCTGTACAAGCCGATCACAACATGGATGAAAGAACCAGACGACCCAGTATATTTCATCCACGGGACGCAGTGGGAGTATGTCAAGGACATCCTTGCTAATGGCCTGTCATGCCTCGCACAGGACAACCCGAAGAGGAAGGGGGGGCGCCAATTTGTGCATGGCTGCCCCTACCTCCCGGGCGACCCGAGGATACAATCGGGCATCCGTCCTGACTCGGAGGTGCTCATATTCTGCAGCATCAACAAGATGCTGTCCAGTGGCTTCTCTCTATGGAGATCAGCAAATGACATAGTCATGACACGGGGCCACGACGGACGTATACCGCCCGATCATATCCTCCAGATAGTGAGCATTGCGAAATATCGGGTCGGCGAAGCCTGGACCAATCCGCTGTTTTATGACAAGACGCGGAGGCGGGGCCAACCCGCGGACAGGATTCGCACTGATGACTACCTGCCACTTAAAATGTGTGACAGAACTGTGGCGGTAATGGAAGATCATGCCATGTACCTCAAGGGCTGGGCTAAGACGGACGGTCGTCCATTCAATTTGGTCATGACCGAGCAAGATGTTGCTCCACGACCGTTCGAGACACAGACAGTCCTCATGATGAATGCCCAGGAGGACGAGGTCATGCCTGAAGCGGGGCCACCCGCAGGAGCGGGGACACCCGCCGTAGACACCTCGGACGGTTCATGGCAGCAAGTAGTCACACCGGTGGCGACGGTAGCATCTCCGTGGCGGCCGGACCAGCAGTCTTGGGTCCACGCTCTCAACAGCCATTTGACATCAGCTGACGTCTCTGGACTGACCGATCAGCTATACCGAGCTGACCCGTGGGCGGTGCACGCAGGTATCCAAGATGCACAGCAGAGGAACCTGCGCCCTCCTGCGGGGCCACCCGGCATCCTAGGGACACAACCACAACGCCCTCCGCAGCAAGCTGGAGGCGCGAGGTTTGTCCCCATGAGCGGATCAGATGGTGGCTCGCCGTATCGGACTCCGCCGTCCGAAACGAGCGAAAACAGCTTGTGGCAACGACTCCAGGCGATTCGCGGGAATCCGACGCTCGCAGCGGCACTCCAGGCGACCACTCCCTTCGGCACTCCGAGGGGTAGTGAAGGAGGAGTGGCTGCGGGGTCACCCGCCGAGCGAACGCCTGCGGAGTCATCCGCACATGCGGGGCCACCCGCTGATGGTCAGCAGGGCTCAGACTACGAACGTCGGGCGGCCACCTTGAGAGCACAGGCTACCTTTTTACAGCAACAAGCTGATAGAGTGCCCAGCCTGTTGCGGAACCGCAACATAGATGTTACGAATCATGGCAACTTTCGGCCTCTCTGGAGCTGGACCTCCGATGATGCTCCGAATGCAGATCCCACGAATCCATATCGACAGGTGTTTATTCCAGGGATAGCATCACACCCAATATATGGATGGGACAATCATGGACCAGCAGAGGCACCGGCCATGGATGCGCCGATGTACCCGGAGTACTACGCGCAGATGAATAACACTCCTATGATTGCGGGGCCACCTGCGAACGAGTACACTCGGAATCTGGCCAATGAGATGTACCGTTTGCAGTTTACACGAGCAGTTGACACGCAGTCTATGCCGCACTACGCCTACATGCCCACGCCGACGGACCCCGAGACCGTAGTTCAGCCAGCTGGTCTCGCGGTGCCAGCCGCTCTGGGCAGCATGCCAGACTACATTCGCGACGTGCACAACACGCAGCAAGCGATACTGGCATCTAGGCAGCAGGTTCGGGACAACGCTAGGCTGCGCCAACAGCGCGCGATCCAGAGAAGGATCGAGCGTGAGAACCAAGCGGGGACACCCGCAGGTGCGGGGCCACCCGCTGAACAGATAGACAGACTGCCACCACCGACGCCATATCGGGAGGGCGAAACTACTTTCGAGCGTCAGGCTCGGACTCGCCCCGACGTGCCCACGCCAGTCATTTCAGATTACAATTTCACACAGTGCCCGATCTGTATGGACCCCTACGAGATGGGCACCACGGTGTGGAGACTGGCATGTGGACATTTCTTCCACGATATATGCTGGGATCGTGTTGCACAGCAGCACGTCCGCAATCAGCGGCCAGGTACGCCAAACGAGGCACCTTGCGCTGTATGTCGTGGGCCGGGCATAATCACAGCACACTTTCCGTATGCTGGACAGCGCGACGCTGAGTCGGAACAGGCGCGCCAGCAGGAAAGGTATGTGGTGGATGCTCGGGAACTGCGCCGGCTGCGGGAAGCAGTGGAGGCACTAGAGGCTCGAGCCGCCTCGGCGGAGCCATCCGCACGTGCCCCAGCTGCACAGACACACCCATGGCCAGCGCCAGAGCAAGGCATCCAGATGCCAATCCTGCCTACGCTTCGAGCACAGGGGCCCCCAGCAGCGGGGCCACCCGCCGAAGCGACTCCCGCCGCTAAAGCGGGGCCACCCGCTGAAGCGGCTCCCGCCGCCAAAGCGGGGTCACCCGCAACGGGGCCTCCGAATCCAGGATTCCTGAGAGCAATGGAGGCCAATATCAGGCGGAGCGGCAGGAGCGGAGGTGTATCCAGAACCTCACGTGTAGAGAGCCCGGTGAGTGCTAGGAGCCGGGCCAGTGCGGAAAGCGCTGAAGCAGCCCAATTCCACAATACCTTCATGATCAACACGGAAGGGCTGACTTACACACGTTCACGGATACGCTTCCGCCAGGAGGTGAGTGGACCTCCACACTCTCCGCGACCGAACAGGAACCAATCACCGTGGAGGAGCGCCGCCAATATGAGCAAATATGGTGCACCGAGTTAACAATGAGCCAGTGGGTGCTGGAACAACGCCTACTGAAAGGCACGCTCGGTTCACAGATTACGTACCATAGTGATGACCACGGTACGATGGCTCTGGCGGCGCGGACAGGGACATTCTTCCCCGACGAAGACGGAATGCCCTGCATATCGTTCATGCTAGACATTGGCTCCAACGTGAACATCATCGGAGCTAATACAGCACGAACCTTTCAGGAGGTTATGGCCAGGTACAATCACAGACCGGCCATATGCACACTGAGCAAAACCCTCTACATCAATGGTGTAGGTGAGGGTGCTGCGATCTGTCGGAAAATGGGCAACTTCAAGATCGGGGTGCAATACGCCAATGAGGCAAGCCCCCGCATCGAGGAGTATGCTTCCAACATCGCAGAGGGCTCAGGTGCAAACCTCCCAGCCATCTGGGGCCTGAGTGCCATGGAAGCACGTGACACAATTATCGTGCTAAAGCCAGGCTTCCAGAAGGTTATCTTCCCCAGCGGAGAGTATACTCTTAAGCTGGGGAAGGGCGCCAAGGTCCTGAGGGCAAAGAAGACCCCCTCAGGACACCTAGCCATTCCCTGCGGGTTGTATGACGGGGCTAAAAGCCAGACGGTCACCAACACCTTCACAATCCGCAGTAGTCATGACGGCTACACCGAGACGGAGAACGACGAGGACTCCGTCAATGCGGGGCCACCCGCCGGTGTAGGTGCGGGGTCACCCGCTGGGGTAACAGCGGGGCAACCCGCGATGGGACAGTCCATGACCGTTACGACTGATACGTTCATTGTCGAGCCGTATCTCGACAAGCAGCTCCTGAAGGACACGACCCGTGCGATCGTAGACAGGACGCTCGACAGCTGGTGGAAAGGCCAACAGTGTCCTGAAGGGACCTGGCCACACATGAAGGATGCCCTGAAGTCTAAGATTTTCTGGGCAGTCCAGGAGGCGGTGAATAATTGGTCGCCTGAGAACCAAGCGGGGCCACCCGCGACACCGCCACCACCACCAAGCTGCACGGGCGGAGGTTCGACGGACCTTGCGGGGCCAACCCGCGTGGAGATCGTGAGCGCAGCCGCACCAGTGACGCCTGCGGAGTCATCCGCTAACAGCATGCCCCTCTGACGGGGGCAGGCGGGCGCGCCGGCGGCGCTCGCTTGCGAAGAGAAGCCGAATACCGGCCTCCTCGCGACATACGTTGGCCGCGCTGAGGCCCGAGAAGAAAAATACCATTCAAAATGCCTCGTCATCGAAGATATTCGTACAGCTTGCGCTGAACTCCGATCCCGTGGATATATATGCGACCGGATTACCCATAATGAGGTAATGACTTCAACTGGAACACAGTATTTGGGAAATTTGTTGGCAGGAGACTACAATATGTTGTGGGTGGCCACACCCTCTGATTGGTACGTGCGTACTCCAGGAAAGAGGGCGGGACCACACTATCAACGTATACAAAATCTCCTGATCAAAGCGCGTGCTCTGAGGATGCAGATAGTTATCCTGGGGCCACCCGGGTATTTCTGGAAACAGGGTCCGATCAAAGATGTTATCGAAGATTTGAAGCTAAGCGTTATACGAATCAGACTCTGTCATTTCGGCATTAAGTTTGACCGATCCAGTAAATATCCCAGTGGTTCTTATATACAAGTTGCTACATCTTGTCCTCATATACCGGTTAACTTATGGAGATGTACTTGTGGATCACACAAGGACCATGATTTGGATTGGTATGGCCAAGATCAACAACATGCCGAGTTTCGGTATAAAACTTTGGCTATTATTATTGCACGCTTCCTTGATCAACTCGATAAAGCCAACATGATCAGGAATGAGCGGAGTGCGGTACACCTCAGTGTGTGTACACGCGTTGACAAAAAGGTCAGACACTACGTTCAATGTCCACAGAAGGGCCCTCAATGGGACCATGTGGTTCGTAGGGTCACGACCGACCTGGACACGAACAAGATTGTTCAAGACATTAGGATCCAGGATCAGCCAACTGGGTACAATTATGTAGCTCCATTACCTGATGGGGTTACAAACATCAGTACTCGGCTATACTGGGAGCCTCCGGCTCCAGTTCTTCATGGCAATGGTGAGTCGCGAAGGCCACGCCCAAAGCGTGTGACGATCGTCGATGACGATCGATCTCCTCCCCCTTCGATTGAGCGTTGCCAAACGCGACCCACCAACGACCTTCCTGAAATTCCGCCATTTCCTGATTTTACAGCGGATTCCTCCGCAGCGGATCTCTCCGCGGAAACTGCGTTGCCCACTGATGCCAGGATAAAACAGAAAGAAAAGCAGAAAGCTGACAAAGAAGCCGGCATCAAACCGAAGAAAGTCCCGAAGAAAGTGGAAGACGGTAACGACGACTGTGGAGAGGACCTCAAAGGGCTTGACTGCTCCACATATTTCAACGACGTTCCTCTTGACGACTCGGACTCGGACAGCGAATCAGAGGACATCTTCATGATGTTACCGGCGGGGCAACCCGCTGACTCACATGCTGATGTCTTCTCGATAGTCCAGTCGTTATGCTACGGCAGAAACAATCAAGTGGACATGCTTGAATTATGTGGGGGCAAGGGTGGTATATCCATATTAGCCTTCAAGAGGGGACTCTCGTCAGGCGGGAACCTTGACAAGATATCTATGGTTGACCTTGGAAACTCGGAAGTACAAAGAGCAGTCCTCCACTACCTCAAGACTTGCTTTGTCAAGATCACGATTCTGCAGCCAAGCTGCAGAACTACTGGACTCCCTTCCTACTTCAACGCACAGGTCAATCATGATACGTGGCTTAAACACCACAAAGAGGACCTGCCTCATATCACGTTCTGTGGAACAGTCGCTCTACTACAAGACGACTTAAGACGTTTCTTTCTCAGGGAACAACCAATGGGCACGTGGGTGGATGAGATCCAGCCATGGAAAGAACTGGCACAACGCAAGGTCACTTGCCAAACAATCATTGATCAGTGCACGACTGGTCTCAAAGATTCATTTGGACAATATATCCGCAAGCCAACACAGATAATGGCAAATAAAGAAGAGTTGTTGGCACCTTTCAAAGGCAAGCGTTGTCCAGGAAATCATGTGCACGCCAATGCTTGTAACAAAGAGTTAGCAAGGGCGGCACAGTATACCTACAGAATGCAGTCATTGATCGTTGATGCGGTGCAAATCGCCAAAGACCTGTTTGCTCACGGTCGCGATCCATTCGCGAATCGTGAACGCAGCTATGCGTTCGTAACAAACAGTGCTGGCTACGACTTGGACGACCCAACAATCCGGAGACACCCAAACGGAGAAATCTGTCGACCACCACCTGGCGGTCTTGGGTGCCCTGGCTGTGTGGACAACAACTACAAGCAATCACCAAAGCACAGTAGGGATCCGAAGATGTGTCGGTGGTATGATGTTGAACCGTATTACTGGGACTGTCCAAGCTGTAAGAAGGAATATCAGAAGAGCAATCCTCACCACACCAAGATATCTGGCCAATGCAGATTTGCCGAAAAATGGAAACTGCCAGATAACTTTGGCCAGCCGCGTCCGGCGGGACAAGCCGCTCCTGCGGCGCCAGCCGCGGAAGCGGCTCCAGCCGCAGAAGCGGCGCCAGCCGCAAAAGCGGCGCCGGCCGCGAGAGCGCGCATACGTGCGCCTAGGCCGCCACGGCCTGGTGAGGGCGATCCAACCGCAGGCGCCAGCAGCCATGACATCACCAGAGCCGACGGGGCTAATGGTGGCAACAGTGGCGCTGGCAGCTCTGACGATCACCGTAGACTGCCACAAGTTGCAGCAAGGCGCGGACGCATGGAGGGAGGAGATCCTCCACCACCGCCGCAGCCTCAAGCAGAGCCACGGCCAAGGCCAAGGCTCCCTGATTGGACTCGCTTCGACGTTCAGCTCAGCCTCCAAAACCTGCGCAGCTTCGACCCAGCTGTAGTGCAGCGAGAACTCCGCAAACTCCACCTGAGATGGTTTCATGCCAAGGAGCCAAAAATGCGGATGATTCTAACCAAGGTTGGTCTGGGTGAAACCCGTTTGAGTCTGATCAAAGGCATTTGTGACTCGTGTAGAGAATGTCGAGCCTGGGATAAACCAGGCAACACGGTGATGCCTTCCGTGTCACTGCCAGGACGTTTCAACGAAGAAGTCGAATGTGATCTCTTCTTTTATAAACAGGAACATATTGTTTTTCACATCATCGACCGTTGTATTCGCTGGGCAGCTGGCACAGAGATTCCTGATAAAGCTACGCATACTGTTCTCGATGCCTATCATACGACTTGGATGCAGCATGGCCCTGCTAAAATTCTATACTCCGATGGGGAAGGAGCACTGAATAATGATACAGCAAAGGCCATCCTTAAGGCTAAGGGAACAGAGCTTCGTATTCGAGCGCGTGGCCAACACGCTACAACTATCGAAGCTAGGAACGGCATCCTGCGACACCTCCTACACGTGATGGGAGAAGAATTGAATAGATTAAATATCCCTCTCAATTTCACTCGTCTCTTACATGAAGCCTTGTTTGCCAGCAACGCATTTACCTTCTACAATGAAGTGTCTCCGTACAATGCGCTGTATGGTAGACAGCCAGCTATGCTTCCTGATTTCCCTGTCTTGGATCATGATCAGCCCACTGAATCATCAGATCACTCAAGGGAGGAAACAATCAGGAGGGTTAGTCTGGAGGCAATCACGCAGGCCACTGCGGTTGCCAAGACGAACAGGGCTCTCCGTACAAAGACTACTGCTACGGGTGAATTTCACTATAAAGAGGGAGATCTCGTGGACTATCATCGCCCGACCACCACGAAAGACGACTGGGGTGGATGGAGTGGTCCATACCCGGTCATCCGCAACGAACCTGACCGAGGCCAGGTCATCGTGAAGGTCGGCAATCGCGAAGTACGAGTACAGTATCCTGACACACGACACACACTGTACATCGAAGCACTTATGGTCCGCGAGATAGGATCGGACAATATGGCCCTTCGAACAGTATTGGCCTTTATTGCCGGTCTGCCAGCGGGGAAACCCGCCATGACTTTCGGATATCTACCAACGAAACAGGGTCGGCTGCAGATGACTGCTGCGAGCCGACTTTCACCTAAGGTGCACTTGGCTCTTCAGTACCTCATACGCAACTACTTTCGTATTGAAAACGTTGTTGCTGTACGACTCGCCAAGAGCCTGACGAAGCTGCCTGCTGCACCCTATGCAGACAGCTGTACACTAGTGCACTATGATAACGATGTGACCCCTGGGTTTCATTACTACGAAGCTGATGGCACTGCCTTGAACATCTATGACATCACAGGATCCACACACTCACGCATCATCCAGTGTCTTAAATCCAGGAAGCCGTCTGCTGGGTTTGACCAAGATCTCACTAAGTTTGAGGAACTCGCTGATGGTCCACCACCAAGCGAATCACCTCCAGCAGCTGCTCCTGAGGAGCCTCCTACGGACAACGATGGTCGGCTTCCGACCATCATAGAGGAGACAGAAGAAGATCTGGATGCTTTTGTCTTGAAGTCGTGGTATGCTGAACTGATGGATGACAGAACACTCCTTGAAGCTGACACAGAGGAAGTCATGCATACAGTTCCTACATACATGACAGACACACAGTGTGTATTAGTCTCTACGACCTGTGAAGATGTGCAAGGCCACTTGCCGGAGCGGGGTCACCCGCCAGGATACGACATGGACACTTCTTACTACGTTCCTCTATGCTCCACGGAACCGAATAGCAAATATGATCTGGACTCCGATGAGCACGGGAAGTATATCGAGCTCTGCTTCACTGCAGACATGTCCAAAGTCGTCCTGTCCGAGCAGCAACACCGACTGTTGGATGACAGCAGCGTCACAACTATGCGAGTATACGTTAGCGCTGCCTCCAAACGTGCCGTGGTCGTCAAGGAAGACGATCTACTCACGAAGGCCGACATCCAAGCAAATCCGGTCAAAGTCTCCAAAGCCCTCTACACAGAGCTGAAGACTTGGCTTGACAACAAATGCTTCCAGATGACTGACTTAAGCAAGGCGTCTAACATCATGACGTCACGCTACGTATACAAATGGAAGTTTGTCAAGAACGAAAAGGGCGAAATGGAAAGGACGATCCGGTTACGCTTGGTACTCCGTGGCTTCATGGACCTCGAAGCCTTTGATGTCGAAACCTTCTCCGGCACGGCAAGGAGGTCAAGCCAGAGACTGCTCGCAAGTTCTGCTGCATGCAACAAAGCTTGGATAATCGCTTCCCTGGACATCAACATGGCTTTCTTGAAGGGACTGACCTATGGCGAGCTCGCCGCGGCAACGGGCGAGAAAGAACGTGTGGTGTGTTTCACACTACCACCTGGGTCAGCAGCTGTCCTTCGCACACTGCCAGGCTTTGAGTCATATGACGAATCAAAGCATTGTCTCCGGTGTCTGAAACCGGGGACAGGCACGAAGGATGCTCCCAGGGCGTTCTCGCTGAAGCTCAGGTCCATCACTAGGAGCTTTGGGCTACAGCCTACTTCATACGACGAAGAATTCGAGATGAGCCCAAACCTCTTGACAGCCAAGCACGTTGATGACATCAATATGACTGGGAAGGAAGAGGCTATCGACAAGTATGTCAAGTGTGTTGAAGATACGTTTGGGAAGTGCAAACTGAACAAGCACACATACACGAACTGTGCTGTTCGGTACAACAAGACCGATGATGGGAGCGTCACTCTCGACCAGGACGAATACATCAAACAGCTTCGTCCTATCACACATCCAGAACTCACAGGAGCTGATCCTGAAAGCAAGGCGACGAAGACAATTTCTGATATGTTCGTTAGTCTTCGTGGCGCTCTAGCCTATGCGTTGATCACGCAGGTATGGCTAATGGTCTATGTTGTCTCACTACAACGTATCCAAGAACCGACAAACATCCAGGTACGACGACTAAACGCGGTTACCAGAAAATTGCAGGCAGGTCCGAAGAAGATCGTGTATCATGCTATGACTCCAACAGGAGAAGTCGACCTGCATAGCGATTCTGGCTATCGTCGTCTCAACGGAGATGAAGACGACGAAGTCAAAGGCTATGGTATCCGCGGGGCTAACCTGCTGAGGCGTGGCCACACGCAAGCGGGGAAACCCGTCGTGCACCTGGTGGACGCATACTGCAAGTCTCATCGACTGCAAGTGCGTTCGAGCTACTCTGCGGAAACACTGGCAGCAGCCCACAACTTGGAAGACTGCTACCCGACCATTGTAACGCTCCACGAGCTACACTCGGGACCATTGACCCCCACACAGTTGAAGAACATATTGGAAATGGGTGGTCTATGTATCAAAGTCACTCTGACTATTGATGCCGAGTCTGTCTTCAAATCTTTGTCTAGCAAGGATCTGAAGAAGCCCACAGAGTGTACTCTGCTTGGGCACATCAGCTGGATTCGCCAGATGATGGAACGTGGAATCGTGGAAAGCGTCCAATGGTGTGACACGCGGGATATGACTGCCGATGGTCATACCAAAGGTAGCATTGACCGCGCGTTGCTCCTACAAGTAATGGCCGGCCAGCAATCCTTCAAGCACGAGCTGAAGAAACATACACCGTATAGGGCGGGCAGGTCGTCTCAGGACGGCCCTGCCTCCCGAGCCAGCGGGGAAACCCGCGGGCAGGTGCGCTTTAGCAGCGAGGAAACTCGCCGGTAGCGAGGCCACTCGCGCGCCCTTTCCTTGTAGGCAGCCGCTGCTGCTTAGCATGTTTTTCCGCATAATAGAAGTGCGGTACCTGCTCGTCTCCTCCCCCTCCGACTTTAAACGGAGAAGGTTAAAGGCGAGATATAAATCGAGCATGTACCGCTGCCGTGCCTGGCTCAAGCCGGGCCCGGCCTAATATGTGATTGCGCCTCACCGAGGCGCACTACTTGCATCTGAGATCGGAAAACATCCTTTCCATTGACGATGCCCATCCTACTCTTTACTCCAGATCCCATGTTTCGTCTCGCTCTCTTGCTCATGCGCTATGAGCCTAAGCCTGGGATATGGAAGCGCCTAAGGCGGACTGTATACCTAAGCTTACCAGCTTGTTTTCGACTGATCAAGCCGTCTCCCAAACTCGCGTTGCCTGCGGCAGGGTGCCAGCTGACGAGACGCAGTTCCCAGGTTGGCAGACCGTGATTGAGTTCCCGTTCCTCGGCCACGCGATCACGGCGAATAGCAGCGCGGTGACGAGTATACACAATACCAAGAAGGCCGTTTGGAAAGCTTTCCTTGCCAACGCCGGGGCGGCATCTGTCTCCAAGGTGCCGCTGAAGGTCAAGCTCCGGCTCATTTCCCGCACGTGCTTAACGCCTTTCGCCTACCGATGCTCGCGGTGGCCGCGGCGCGCGGAGCAGCTGGCGATGGCCGACCGCATGCAGACTAGGTTGGTCGCAGCCGCTGTGCGAATGCGGAAGGGCCCCGGCGACAGCGCTGAGTCCTTCGCTAAACGCGTGAACGCCCGCGCCGCGCTCCAGGCGCGGGAGTTTGGAAGATGGCCAACTTCTTGGCGCAAGCGAGTGGTTGATTGGGACAGTCACATCAAGCGAGCGCATTGCCAGCAGCAGTGGAGCACGAGGTTTGTACTGTGGCGCGACGGCCGCTGGCTCCAAGCGCGCCGAGACCAGCACCGCCGAGGGCGCCCTCGCACGCGCGTCTGCCTCGGGCAACCGGCCGCCCGGTGGGGCGAGGGCGTGGCGCTGGCCACCGCGAAACTCCAGCAGAACTGAGTCCTTGCAGTATCTATGTTCGACTCCTCCTTCTTCTTCTCCCCGCCTTTTTCCTTCTGGGCGTCTTCGAGCAATGGCCGCCTTTGCCGCGCGTCCTTGGCATCAGTCACAGAGCCACAGCAGCCGCCATCAGCTGCCCAAACAACCAACCAACATTGAGGCGATCTTGGGGGCCTCTTGTGCCGTCTTGGAGCGTCGGAGGCCCGAAGAGGCAACAACGCTGACATATGTTCAGACACACGAGGGAAACACATGATGTTGGCCTCTCGGGGCCCTCTCGGGGACTCCGTGGAGCCCTTTTGGGGCCTCCTGGGGGCCTCGTGGGCCGTCTGGAGGCCAAACTGGAGTATTTGACGGATATTCGCGCGACCTGGGGCCTTCGTGGACCGTTTTAGGGGCTTGTTTGGCCGCTTCGGCCCGTCTGGGCGCTCTTGGAGTAGTTTTGGGTTCCCTCGAGCTCGCCCTGCGCGTGCCGACGCACCCCATGCGCGCCGAAACCAGTGATGCTACGCGGCCAGGAGCGCCCAGCAAATTTGGCACATGGGGGCAGGGCCCTTTAGAACCCTACAATCTTGCAACAAGACGGCAGTTCCTCTGCTGCCACTACGTGCTCAGGGTTTGTAGACCCCAGAAGGAAGGTTTACCGTAAGCCTACCCTTGGGGCCTACCCCTAGGGCTACCCTACGTAGGCCGACCCCTAGGGCCTACTCCTAGGGTTACCTTACGCCTATCCTTAGGGCCTACCCCCAGGCTTACCCCCAGGGCCCACCCGTAGGGCTAGCCTAGGCCTACCTACCCCTAGGGCTACCCTAGGACTACTGCTTGGGCCACCTAGGGTTATCCTAGGCCTACCCCTAGGGCGTACCCTCAGGGTTACCTTAGGCCTACCCATAGGGCCTACCCTCGCAGATCCGCCTTGGCCAGGTGAGAAACACGAGGGCGGAGGAGGAAAATGAGGAGGAGGGTGAGGAGGATGAGGAGGAGGAGGAGGAGGAGGAAGAGGAGGAGGAGGAGGAGGAGCAGGAGCAGGAGAGGAGGAGGAGGAGGAGGAGAGGAGGAGGAAGAGGAGGAGCAGGAGGAGCAGGAGAGGAAGGAAGAGGAAGAGGAGGAGGAGAAGGAGGATGAGGAGGAGGAGACGGAGGAGGAGGAGGAGGAGGAGGAGGAGGACGAAGAGGAGGAGGAGAGGGAGGAGGGGGGGGGGCGAGGGAGGGAGGAAGACGGGGGAGGGGGGCGGTGGGAGGAGGAGGACGGGGACAGAAGAGGAGGACGAGAGGAGGGAGGTGTTGGGAGGGAGGTGGGGGGATGAGGAGGAGGAGGAGGAGGAGGAGGCGGAGGAGAAGGATGAGTATGAAGAGGAAAAGGAGGAAGGGGAGAAGGAGGAGGAGGAGGAGGATTAAAAGGGGGATGATGATGCTGATGCTGATGATGATGATGATGCTGATGATGATGATGATGATGATGATGATGATGATGATGATGAGGATGAGGATGAAGATGAATATGAAGATGAAGATGATGAAGATGATGATGATGATGATGATGATGATGATGATGATGATGATGATGATGATGATGATGATGATGATGATGATGATGATGATGCTGATGCTGATGATGATGATGCTGATGATGATGATGCTGATGATGATGATGATGATGATGATGCTGCTGCTGCTGCTGCTGATGATGATGATGATTGATGATGATGATGATGATGATGAGATGATGATGAGGGAGGAGGAGGAGGAGGAGGAGGAGGAGGAGGAGGAGGAGGAGGAGGAGGAACAGGAGGTGGAGGAGGAGAAGGAGGGTTTAATCAACACAGGCTCGTGCCTTACGTTGGTATAACGCAGAAGGAGGAGGAGGAGGGGGGGTCAGACGCAGCGCCCCCCTCGGTAGCGTACGGTTATTGCACAAGAAAAGGAGACGGAGGAGCCCACCCGCCACGGGCGCCCGCGTGGCAGGCAAAGGGGGCACCACAACGTACCTTAATGTCCCGCCCGCCCGGCCAGATCCGCGCCGCCACGGACGCGCTACCCGACCGTCACGGGTGCTCGCGTGCCAGGCATGTGATGATGCACCACAACATATTCTATGTAATGTCCCGCCCGCCCGACCCGGCCCGCCCGCCACGGGCGCCCGCATGCCAGGCAAATGTTGAGTCGACACAGCATGCTTGCAGAGTGCCCTCGGCCCGTTCGCTCGCCCAGCCCGGTCCGGCCCGCCTGCCGTGGGTCCGCACGGGACCCCCTCCATCGCCATGGGAGTCGCCGCTCTTTACCGGGTGGATGCGCCATGCGATCGCGCCCCAGCTCTCCCGTGGTCGCCCGCTCTGCTTTGATTCCTGGAGTATCTCAGAAAGGGGTGTTCCGACTCCTCCTCCTCCTGTGTCCTCCTGGTCCCTCGTCTTCCCTAGAGTTCCTCCTCTTCAGGGAACTGCGTCGCCCGAGGGGGGTCCCCGAAGGGGGGTCCCCGAGGGGAGTTCCCCGAGGTGGGGTCCCCGATGGAGGGGTCGGGGAGGGCCCCCCAGGGGGGTGCCCGAGGGGGAGTTCCCGATGGGGGGGTCTCCGACAGGGGAGTCTTCGATGGGGGTGTCGCCAACTTTATTGGAAAAGTTGCCCAATGTCTCGGCTAACTTTGTCAATTTTGCTGGCAAACTTGTCGGATGGCTCGGCTAGCTTGCCAATGTTGCCAGCGAGCTTGTCGAACGTCTCGGCTGACTTGCCGAATGTCTTTGCTAATTTGCCAATTTCGTTGGCAAAGTTGCATAATTTGTCGGCGAATGTGCCATCTTCGCTGGCAACGTTGGCCAATGTCCCAGCTAATGTGCCAACTTTGCTGGCAAAGTTGTCAAGTGTCTCGGTTAGCTTGCCAACGTTGCTGGTAAAGTTGCCCGATGTCTCCGCAAACTTGCCAATTATGCTGGTAAGTTTGTCGAGTGTCTCGGCTAACTTGCCGTCTGGCGGAATTCTAGCGATCCTGGCGGATTCCGGATTTCTAATGGAGTTGTAGTGACTTTAGTAAACAGTGGTCATGCCATTGTATGAGATATGGGCACGATGCAGACAAGATCCGCATGGCCTTTGCGCGAGGATGGGACTCACAGATCGAGACGCGCAACCGCGTTAATCACAAGGTCCGTGCTATCCACTTGACGTTCCAGCTCTCTCCATATTACTTTCCGGCTGCGCTCAATCGTCCGATGTCTTCTTCGGCCCTTGTTTAGATGTCCCGCGCGTTGTCCGACACCTGGGGACAAGCTTCCTTCGAAATATGATATCTCAAGGGCGCATCCACAGACGACGCGTTATCCTTGAAACAGCTGGAGTTGGAGATAACACATCACCAGGCACAACATCTCCTCAAGCTAGAGTGGCTCAGAAGCTTAGTTGTTGCCTGTTGCGGGGCTGGGAGCCCAGCAGACATCTGACACAGGTTTTCAGTATGCCGAAAGCGTGGATGGCTTTAACGTTCCCAGCCCAGCCAGTAGGTATCTGACAAGGCGCAATGCCATCGGCTGTGGCCTTATCATGCTTGCAAAGGGTTCAGACTTCTGGCTTTGTCACACTTGCAAAGAATGTACGAGGGATCGTTGCCTCGGGGACGCGACACTTAAGTAATTCAAGGATCTGTCGCCTCATGGGCGCAATAATTGCGTACATTGCAAGGGTAAGTGGCGTCGGGGTCGCGAGCATTGGAATTCACGAGGGTTTGTTGCCTCGGGGACGCATCAATTGTATAATTTGCAAGGACTGCTGGCCTCGGGGACGCGAACATTGTGCAATTTAGGACAGATCTTTGCCTCGGGGGCGAAGTTGTGGCGAAATGTACGATGTACGGTGGATAGTGGCCCCAGAGGCGCGAATCTAGATTAATTTCCTGCAGATCGTGGTCTTGGGGACGCGAACATTGTATATTTTACAAGGGATCGCGGCTTCGGGGAATGGAATGTGGTGCAATTTGCAAGGGATCGTGGCCTCGGGGACGCGAGCGCGTCGTAATTTACGAGGGATCGTGGCGTCGGGAGCGTGAACGTGGTGTAATTTACATGGATCGTGGCCCCAGAGGCGCGAATGTAGTGGAATTTGCGGGAGATCGTGGAAATGGGGTGCGAATACGGTGTATCTTACGAGGGAACGCGAACGTGGTGCAATTTGCGAGGGATCGTGGCCTTGGGGGCGCGAATGCAGCGTAATTTGCAAGGATATTGCGTCTGGACCGCGAATCTCAAGTATTTTACGTGTCCCACGGCCTGCAGGAATTCAGAGCATGCGACTCGGGGATGGTAACCGGACGCTTTTCGGCTCCCCCCCTCGCGCGGACTTCAACAGTTTACAGTAGGAAGCAGACAGCAGGACTGTAACATTGAAGACTGGAAACTGGAACTGGTGCAGGATACTGAAACCAAACCCGCGCAGCCTGATGGCCTCACAAGGGGGCCGGCGGATTTTCTAAGGTCATCTGCTTGGGAGGCCGTCGTCGCCGCAGCTGGATCCGATTCGACGTTCTGGTCAGAATGCGCTCCAGAACAGGTCCAGGATTCGACTGTTCGTCTTCCTCCTCCTGTTCCTCCTCCTGTCTGTCTCCTCCTCCTGCTCCTCTTCCTGTTCCGTCTGCCGCCGCTGCCCCTCGTCCTCATCCCCAGACCTTCGGAGGATGGTTTTCTTGTTCCAATCCGTGTCCCCCCGAACATTTGAGCTTTTCCTTTGGGGCCAGTCAACCCAGATGGTCTTTGACCGTCCCGGGGTCCAGAAGCAGCCCCCAAGGCCCGACAGTCGGGACAAAATCTGCCAGAGGTGTGGCAAGTGTTCCACGATATCGTGGTTCGAAAACCTGAGACCAGGGTTCTGAGTTTGAGAGTATGTCGTGGGCCTCTGTAACGCGTTTCGTCGCCACGGCCGGATCCACCTCGAGATTCAGACCAGAACGCACGCAAGAAAACGTTGAGATGTCTATTTTGACGATAAGTTTTAAGAGTTCGAGAATATTGAAATTCGCGACGAGATTCAAGAGGCCTACGCCATTCCGCCGACCCACAGAAGAGAGGGACGTCTTGGGGGGCTAACGAGGTTGAGATGGGAGAGGGACTTGCCGAAGTGTGCGAAGGGCCGAGTGCTGTACTGTTCCTGGGAAGTGGAGAGGCAGAAGAGGACGATAGCAACGGGAGGGGGGAGGAGGAGTAGGAGGAGGAGGCTGAGGAGGAGGAAGCCGACGTTGCTTTATGGAATTCCGTTGGGATCATGTGTGGGTGTATTGTTTTTTTCACATGCCTCTAATACCGCTCGAGGCGGTTGGGATTGGTACTTCATTGGTTGGAATTGGTTGGAAATAGTTGGGATCCATTCCAACGTGGTTGTAAGTTGTCCCGTGTTCGCCTGGATCTCCCCACATTGTCTCTCTGTCTCTCTCTCTCTCTCTCTCTCTCTCTCCTCGTTCATACGTTCCGCATGCCCACGCGTCTACACAAGACAGCGCTGAGTGTGTTGGCTGAGTCTTCTGGAATCGTCAGTGTTGCTGGAAGTCAGTGTCAGCGTGATGCAGTTTTCACTGGTATGTGCTTTGAGATCAGTCTTCGAGACTATACATGATGATCCCCCGATAAAAGACGCCTGCCAGATGCCATGGACGCAGAGAAGGAGGAGCGTGGCATCCACGTCGCCCAGCTGGAGGAGGAGGACGAGGAAGAGGAGCAGAAGAAGGAGGAGAAGTACCTCGTCGACATCCAGAAGATCGACGCCCACTGGCTGCAGCGTGAGTTGGGTTCCTGTGCTGTTCTTGGGAGCGTCGGAGTGTCTTCCTGTACCCCTGATCCCTCCTTCCCCCCTCCTTAGCTCTCTTCGTACATCTTTCGCCACGGACAAATCGAGACAGATGTTTCCAAGGTTTGGGCCTCTAGCTCTAGGTCTAGGGGCCTGTTTCGGCCGCCTGGGGCCGTCAGAAACCGACTTGGGGCAACGTAGCAAATGCCAGTGGAAGGATTCGAGAGCTCTGAGGAGCGGCGCCATGAACAAATCGTGACGTCGGAGGTCAAGGACGCTGTCTTGGATCGCGTGCTACCACAACTTCGAGGTGGATCCAGCCGCAGCGACGAGGTGCGCATGCAAGTAGCGTCAACATCCTCTGACTCCCAATTATCCGACTTCCTCATCATTCTCCTCCTTGCCCTCCAAATGTGGACGGGGAGGAGGGCGATTCCAAGAGGGTCCTGGCCTCCACTCGGAGCGCCAGAGAGGCTGCATCGTTTTCTTCGAGCCCAACAAGTGTATCCTCGTCTTCCCCTCTTCCCCCTTCCACCTACTCCTCTTGTGGGGCCGGCCGAACAGGAGTATCCTCATCTTCCGTATCCTCTTTCCTCCATCCTTGTCTTTGCTCTACATCCTATTGCTCTCTCTCTCTCTTTCCTCCACCTCCTACTGCTTTCTGTCAAGGCAAGATCTCACCCGACCCGAACAAGAGCATCTTAGTGATCCTCTCCAAGCATTCCTCTTCCTCTCTTCCTCTTCCCAACCCTTGTGGAGCTTTGATTTTCTCCGACCGGAACAAGTGTATCGTCCTCTGCCTCTTATTCCCCGTTCCTCCCTCCCCTCCCACCCCCTGTAGAGGTAAGATTTTTTCCGACCCGAACAAATGCATCGCCACGGAGAAGGAGATCTTGTCGATCCTGCCGATCAAGGATCTGCAGCAGTGCGAGAACAGGCTGGTGCAGGTCAGGACGCCTAGCGGCCCCTTCCGTTTTCCTTCCTCCAGGAGAGCGCTTTGGTTAGTCCAGGCCTCCCAGACGGGACTAGAGTGGATGGGGGCAGAGGATCGCATCGCATCGCCGATGCATCGGCGATGTGGCGCTATGTGGATCAATGTTCTAGATCACAGCATTGCCGATGCATCGACGATGCGGTGGTCCTCCTCGTCTTTCCAGATCGTCGTCATGATCAATCGTCGTCGACGTGCATTCTGTTCGTAGTGGTTTACCCACCGTCCCGAGAATGGATATGCTGAGTTACGTATGTATACGTCCTGGTGTTGTTTTGGTTCTGATTCGGCCAAGTGTGTCGTATTCTGGCTGACTCTGGTTTAATCCTTCGCGTGCTGCGGCTTTCAAGTTCGGCTCAGTCGCTCCTTCCTCTGGCTAAACCGTGCGCTTAACCTTCAGGAGTTGCCTAGTCTTTCGTGCGGGGAGGTGTTCGTTCACATATGTGCTTTTGGCCCCAGGTGCTCCAGTACGAGAACTTCGAGTTCACGAAATTGCTCCTCAAGAATAGGCTCAAGATTCTCTACTGCACCCGGCTTGGTCAGGCGCTGATTCAGGGCCGCTGGATTGCTCTATCGGATGTTGTGCGTTGTGGTCAAACTTCGACGAAGGAGTATGCAACGGGAAAAACTCATCAGGTCCAGATTTCAGGAGCAGCTCCAGGGGGACACCTGCAGTGGAGGTGCAGAGTCTTTGCAGTGAGGTCTGAATTGGAGACAAGGGGCTGGACAGGAACAGGGGACGCAGGAGTGGGCACAGCACGTTCGAAGAAGGAACGCCCTCGGCTTGGAAGGGACTTGGTGTTTGTAAAGGGGTTGCGATCGCGATAGAAGGACGTCGACCATAGGACTGGGGAGTGGGAGGGCACGGAAGTGGGTCTGAGCGATGGGGATGGGGGAAGGGGGTTGGAGAGCCCCCGCTTCTCACAGGGTGTCCGCGCCGTCCCAGGCGGCATGGGCCGGTCTCCCCGCTTTGCCTACATCTCCCCAGGGAAGCGACCGCTTGGTTGCTCTGGGCTGGCCGCGTCTCGCCCCAGTGCGGCCAGCACCTCGCCGCCTTCAGGCAACCCCACCAGCCACTGCTTCCACCGTGGCAGCCTCGTTTCCAGCTGCCTGCAGCAGGTCCCGCCAGCGCCGGCGCAGCATTCTGTGGTGACGCTTCGAGCACCGCCAAGAAGGCCGTAACATGTACGCCTCTCGTCTCTGTTCCTTGAAGGTGCTTGTTTGGGCCATCTTGGAGCTCTCTTGGGCTCCTGTGGGGCCCTTTTGGGCTGTCTTGGGATCATCTTAGGCCGTCTTGGGGCCCTCTTGGGCTGTCTTGGTACTGACTTGGGCCGTCTGGGGAGTCTCCTGGGGGCCTCATGGGGCTTGGAGCCAGCTTTGGCTATCTGGGGCCCCTCTTGGGCCGTCTTGGGTTGGTTGGGGCTTTCTTGGGGATACCCTGGGCAGTCTGGGGAGCTTCAGGCCCTCATTTGGCTCTTTCGGCATGTCTTCTGATCCTCCGATGTGCTCTTGGAGTCTTCTTGAGTCTTTTTTGGTTTCCGAATGGGCTTTGGAGGCCTCGGCGCTCATCGGGGTCTTCTTGGGGGCTGTTGGCTGCCTCTGGAAGCACTGGTGGGCCAGCCTGGCAGCCTTGGTGGCCTTCTCGAGCTGCCTTGGAGGCCTTGGAGAGCGCTGGAGAGCTCCAGGGAGGCGCCGTGCCGCCTGCCGCCCAGGGAGCCTCGAGATGAGGAGCGGTGCATCCAAGGAAGTGCGGCAGGAGGGGGGGCCCTGCGTGCGGGAACCCGACAGGACAGCACTCGGCATTATGCTGCGCCTCAACGTGCCAGAGGTCACAGTGGCGGATTCGCTGTAGACCGTTAATCCCCGCAGGGCGGACTGGCTTTGCGGACAGGGGAGCAACTTCTGGAATGCGTCGAGGTACTCCTTGTGAGAGGGACGCGGCGATTACTCATGAGGGGCTGACGAACACCCCCTACCACAATTTGATACCCTTATGGCGTGAAAGCGATAGTGAGATCTGTAGTGAGAGCGATAATGAGATCGATAGTGAGACCGATCGAGAGAGATCGAGCGTGAGATCGAGCGCGTGAGATTGACAGGGAGATCGAACGTGAGGTCGATTGGTGTCTCAATAAAGTGCTGATGGTGTCCCGTGGTGTCCCGTCGATGTCCCGTCGGTGTCCCGCGGGTGTCGCGTCGGTGTCCAGTCGGTGTCCCTGTGTTCCGTGGTGTCTCGATGGTGAGTGAGGTCGATCGAGTGGGATCGATAGTGGGATCGATAGTGGGACCATATCGCGACGCATCATCGTCACCACGCGTCGTCGCAAACTCGAGGGCGCATCACCAGCATCGTCATCATCACCGCCACCGCATCAGTTGATTCTTTCTCCCCCCCCTCACCCTCCTTATCACCCGAAGGGTGATCGTATAGGTATCGAATGGCCTTCGGCCCATCCCGCCAGCATGCCTGGGCTGTGGGTATGAAGCCTATTGGGTAATCGTTGGGATCTCGTGGGGGACCTCGGCGGCATCTTGGAGGCAGATTGGAGGCCTTTTGGGTACCGTTTTGGGGTCTCTCGGGACTTCTTCTGTGCGTCGTTGGAGCCTCTTGGGGCTCCTTGGGGGCCTCTTGGGATCCCTGGGCGCCTCTTGGGGCCTCCTGGTGGTTTCTTGGGGCGGAAGGCTAGGATTTTCGGTTCGTATTCCCTCTCTCGGGCCCCTGTTGGGGCCGCCTTGGGGCCCTCTTGGGCCGTCCTGGGGCGCTCTTAAGCCGTCTCTGGGCCGTCTCGGAGGCTTCCTGGGGGTGGTCTTTGTAGCCTCTTGGGGGCCGTCTTGGAGGGTCGGACGGCCGACACGGCGAGAGCGCCATCATCCTTCAAACGCATACGGGAAATCAATGAGTTTTGCTTCTTGAGGTTTCTTGGGAGGCCTCTTGGAGGCCCCTTCGAAGCCTCTTGGAGCGTCCTGGAGGCCTCTCGGGCCATCTTGAGGCCATCTTTGGGCGTCTTGGATTGTTCTTTCGACGACTCGGGGCCCTCTTGGACCGTCTTGGCGGCCTCTTGGGGCCCTTTTGGCCTGTCTTGGGGCCCTCTTGGGCCACGTGGGGAGACGCGGTGGGACCGGGGGACCCGCGCCACGCCCCGGGAGATTATGAATTTGGGCTCTGAGCACCGTAGAGACTCCTCAGGACAGGACTGAGGCTCCAGGGATTAGGAAAGGACCTGAGGACTCGCCCACTCCGTGCCCAGAGGCGCGATATGTATGTATATATAGATACGTGTGTATATAGACATATATGCATGCATACACGCATGCATACACACATACATACATTCATCCATCCATCCATACATGCATGCATGCATATGTACGCACATGCACACATGCACACATACATACATACACGTACATACATACATACGTACGTGCGTACATACATACATACATCCATACATACATACATGCATGTATACAGACATGCATGCATGCATGCATACCTACATACACATACACATACACATGCATACATACAACCATTCATATATACAGACATGCATGCATACACACATACGTACATACATGCATGCATGCATGCATACATACATGCACATATACATACATACACGCATACCTACACACATACATACATATCCATACATACATGCATCTATACATACATACATGCATCCATACCTACATGCATACATACATGCATACACACATATATGCATGCATGCATGCATGCATGCGTGCATGCATACATACATGCATACACATACATGCATCCATACATACACACATACATACATACATACATGCGTGCACACATACATACATACATACATACATAACTGCATACATACATACATACATACATACATACATACATACATACATACATACATACATACACATATACGTACATACATACATAAATACATACATACATGCATGCATACATACATACACACATATATATGCATATACATATACATATACATACATACATACATACATACATACATACATACATACATACATGCATACATACATACATACATACATACATACATACACACACATACATACACACATGCATACATACATACATATGTACAACTATGCATGTATACATGCATGCATGCACGCATGCATAGATACATACATACATGCATACACACATCCATACATACGTGCGTACATGCATACATTCAAGCACACACATACATATTTCCATAGGTATATGTATACAGTTATATATATACACACAACTTTTTATGATACAAATACGCCAGGCCCCCTCTCTGGGCGTCCTCCACCTGGCTCACATCTCGTGTACGCTCCCGGTAGCGCGCTTCCCAGCCTCCCGGGGAGCCCCCACAATGCCCAAAGATAACCCAAGACGACCCAAGAAGACCCCAGAACGTCAAAGAAAGGCCCAAGACGCTCCCAAGCAACCCAGGATAGCTTTCTCCAGGCTCCCAGGAGGCCTCCAAGAGACCTGGAGAGAGCTCCGAGAGGCCTCCCGAGAGCGCCCGAAGAACCTAACATCGTTAATTGTCCTGGCTTTTGTTCATGGCTTTTGGCCTGCTCACCACTTCATGCTTCTAACGCTCCAAGACGGCCGAAGAGGCACCCACGACCGCCCAAGAGGCCCCCAAGACGGCCCCAAGACTGGCCAAGACTGTCCCAAGATTGCCGAAGAGGCGCCCTGGACAGCTCCAGACCACCCCAGAACAGGCCCAAGATGAGCCCAAGAACGGGAGCAGGAGGCCGCCAGAGACCTCCGAGAGGACTCTGGGACCCCCCAGAGGCCCCCAACACACCCCAGACCCAGACCCTGGAGAGTCCCCCAAAAAATCCCCGACGAGGCCCCCAAAACAGCCCAAGAAAGCTTCGAGAGCCGTTCCGAAAGAGCCCGAAGTGGGTAGCATCGTTGCTTTCCATTGGTTTTTTTATGCTGTTCGCCTTCTCACGTTTTCCCGCTTCCAACGCTCCACGACCGAGGAACTTGATAAGAACAAAAAGAAGGGATTTCCAGAGATCCCCGTGTTTTTTCAAGTTGGGACTCTTACTCCCGATCCCGATCCTCTTCTTCGAGCCCCATCAGGACTCCGAGGTCACATGCAAAAATGCTTCGGGAATGCTGTTGAACTTTCTGACGCTCTCTTGGCACTCTCTTGAATCGCCTTCGTGTCCTCTTTGGCTGTCCCTGAAACCTTTGTAGAAATCGAGATCCCATGATCCCATGAGTTGAAGCATTGGAATTTTAGATTTTTGTTTTCAAACTCAGCCCCTGCTAATTGTTGCACGAAGACCCCGAGAGGCATTCCAACAGACCGTGGCCTGCATGCAGAACACGTCCTAACCCACAGCCCAAGCACTACAACTTGAACTACATGAAATCCCACCATTCCGTTTTTTGTTAAAGTTCGCCCCCTGCCTATTCTTGCACAGTAGACCACACTGAAGGCTTTCGAGGGCCCCAGATCGTTGAATACCTAACGGCAATTATTGATTGCTGCGTTTCCGCAGCTCCCCCG